CCCGCGCGCTGCCCAGTGTCCTGCCGTGCGCTGACGCAACCTGGCTCTATCTCGTGTCTCCCAGAATCGGGCGCTCAGGGCGCTACGGCCGGAAGGGTGTGGCCATCAACTTCGTGAAGAACGACGACATCCGCATCCTCAGGGACATTGAGCAGTATTACTCCACCCAGATCGACGAGATGCCCATGAACGGTGAGCGGGGCGGCCCGCCCTGGAGGGGGCTCGCCGCTTCCGAGCGCGGGCCGCTGGAGGCTCTCCCCACTTTTCTCCCTTCTGCTTTGTTTTAGGGAGTCTTTCCTGAACCTGTAGTTTAAACTTGCACATTTTCATTTTGTTTGTATTGCTCCTTACTGTCTATCTTTCTTCACTTTCAGTTGCTGATCTGATATGAAGAATTTGCACACCGGAGACTGTCCACCTATTTTGTACTCAATTTGGAAAATAATGGGGTTTATGTGAACTCTCAAAGCTCCCCCAGGACAGGGTCTTGGGATCCTGCCATTTTTTCTTACCCACGTGTAAATAATGCATTGCTCGAAATGAGTCTTTTTCATTAAACATTGATAAGTTTTCCCATAAAATCTATATTGTATTTCTTAAGGTGTCCCCAGCTTTTCCAGTGACCTGCTGTACGGTGCTGGGCGGTCGCCTCACTCTGTCTTCTGGTCTGTGAGGTGGTGACGTGGAAGTGGTAAATTGCCTGCCTCTCCAGACTTCCCAGGTTGACACCCAATCCCATTTCTTAGGGATGGCCGGTCGGGGCCAGCGGGGGGATCGGGGGTGGGGAAGTTGAGACCATAAATGCTTGTCCCCAGGTTGGCCTTGGGTCTGTGTGTCTGGGTGCAGAGGGGCAAGATAGCCCTGTGCAGTAAGCCCTAGGGAGGAAGGATTTTCCAGTCTGGCTTCTGGGTTAATGAGCCCACCGGTCAGGGCCGGGGAGGTTTCGCACACAGGGTACCATCGGTGACTCGGGGACGGGCCAGCAGGGAATGAGCCAAGAGGTGAGACCCCTGAGCACTTGACCTAACTCGGGAGCTGTCGAGTAGGGTAACAGAGAAGTGCAGATGTCCACAGAGGTGTGTGTCCTCAGTGGTGGTTCAGGAGTGGTGTGTGATCACCAGAGGTGTAATAACCATTAACCTTGACCGCTGGCAAGAGTGGGAGTGTGGTGGGGGCCTCAAGCAGCCTGGCCCTTGGGCAGTAGGAGCAACTGAATGTTACTTCCCTCTGAGGGAGTAACTCTGCCATGGGCAGTAGTCTGGAGTGTAGACTGCACAAGTGAAAGATGTGAGTGCCCGTGATGATTATTTGGCAGTAAAAAGGGAGGCAGTGCTGGCTCACGCTAGAGTGCATGAACCTTGAAAATACACGACGTGAAAGAAGCCAGTCACAAAAGATCACATGTTGTGTGCTTCCGTTTCTGTGAAATGTCCCAAATGGGTAAATCCCTAGAGACAGGCAGATGCATGGCTTTCTGGGGGCTGAGAGGTGGAAGTGGGGAGTGACTGCTAGTGGGCAGAGGGTTTCTCTGGGGGCCATGAAGATGTTCTGGAACTAGACAGTGGTTAACAGTCACACATTCTGTGAATGTACGAGAAAGTACTGTGCCTGTTAAAGTGGTAAGTTGTGTGCTGAGTGACCCGTATCTGTTACAGATCAGGTGAGGAATCAACACTTCTCTAAGATTATACTCAGAAGCAAAAAGGGCATGAGTGTGGGGGTTGGGGGGACACTAGGCAAAGGATACAGCCAGCCACAGGGACAGGCGGACCCCACCCCTCCACACCCAGACGCTGCCTGCCACAGCCGGCCTAAGCCCGGGACCGGGTTCTGCCCCAGAGCCACCAGAGAGGAAGCTGCCCAGCTGCCTTCTGACTTCAGCCCAGTGAGAGCAGGTCAGAACCGCGAGAACAAATCTCGTTTCAAGCTGCTGGGACTGTTGTTCCATTGCTACCATAACAAGTTACCACAGCGTATTTTATAACCAGTGATGAGATGAATAAATGCAAGTAAAAAAGTTGCCAAAACACCTGAGCAGACACCAGAGATTCTGGGTGACGTGAGTCCATGACAAGAACCCCGACACACCCCTCACTAGGGCCGCGTCAGAGCCGCGAGATCCGCCGCCCCTGGGTCGGCTGAAGGTGCAGCGACCACACGGAGTGACGCGGGGCTGGTGGGCGCAGAGTGGGCCAGCCACTTCGGAAGACAGCTCAGCAGCTTCTTAAAACATTAACCACCACCCGCCCCTTCCTTACCACCCCTGGTATTTGCTCAAGAGAAATAAAAGCATGTCCATTCAGAGACTGCTCACCACATCTTTATTCACAGTAGCCAGAAACTGCAGTCTTAACGTCTGTTAAAATTCTCCACGCGGTGGAAAGCTGTTGGGCGGTGAAAAAGCACACACAACATGGATGAATCTCAATGTTAGACAAGACAGGTATGCTGTGTGACTCCATTTATACAAAATTCCAGAAAACATTAACTGTGCTGACCAAGTGGTTGCCTGGGGAAGGGGGTGGGAGGTAGCTTTATCCACACGGTCCTTGGGGTGGGGGGCCCATCTCCCACCGTGCCTGTGGCACCAGGCCCAGCTGTGTCCTCGAGTCACCTTAGAGCCGGGTGACATGGGGGTGTGCGGTGATGTGGGTACACAATGATGCTGCTTTGAGAGCACACAGCACAGCACTCGCCCACCCGGGCAAGTCCAGGGCCCATCGAGGATGGAGGGGCTGTTGCTGTGTCAGTCTGGAGACACAGCCTCCCTACCCCGAATCCCAGAAGGACCAGCAGAAGCATTGCAGATGCCCCTTTTATTAAAAACAATTGCACTTTAGATGAAGGGTGTCCCAAACCCTGTGAGTTCTGCCGAGTCCCCAGGCCCCTCCTCAGACTGGTGGACAGCCCCACCTGTGTGGGGCAGCGGCCCCAGGTCTGCTTCCATCAGGTCAGGGCAGCAGCAGAGCCGCCCGTGGTTGGGACCCTGGGGTGAAGGTACCACCCATCCCAAGCACCACCTCTGCGCCACAGGCAGGCAGCGGTGGCTGGCGGTGCACACGTCACAGTGACAGGCCCCGCCCGGAGAGGCAAACCTTCCAGTGCAGCATTCCAAACAGCACCTTCAGGGCCCTCTGCCGACTGGGATCTATGCAAACAACTCAGACGAGCCTCTGGCCCAGAGCCGGGGAAGCAGACTCACAAGCAGGTTCGGGTGTTCAGGGAAGTCAGCGCCATGTGACACTAGGCCCTCACACGGCTGACCGAGGGCGCGCAGTGCTGAGCTGCTGGGAAGTCTAAGGGACCACACACCACTGGGCCCTGAGTTAAGACCAACTGATGAGAAACTGCTTTCCCATCGTCAGCGAGACAGGGATGTCCAGGGTCTGGGGAAGAGAAACAGAAGAAAACTTGGTCACTAAACACTTGGCAACAGAGGTGAGGCAGACAGGAGTCTGGACATAGGTGGGTGGTGGACATGGGGCCTTCCTGGCCCTGTAAGCTGCTCAGTGTGTTTCCCCGCAGTGCCCTGGGCAGTGGCTGCCTCAGTTTGCTTTGGAAGTTAGCTGAGCTGCCCTTCACCCAGTGGCGGACACTGGACACGGGCAGAGGAAAGATACGGGCAGAGTACGAGGAAGCCGACCTTCCTGTTCCTCCCCCGAGAAGCCAGTTCCTTTCCGCCCCCTGTGAGGCCTGAGTGTCCTCCCACTTCTGGACAGAGTCCTGTGATGCCAGCTCAACGGGTACCTCCTGCCCCCTCACGCATCCTCTGGGGACAGACCCCCTGGGGATAGGCCCTCTGGCCCCAGATGTGGGCCCTCTTGCCTCAGTGTCAGGGCTGTAGGTGAAGTCAGAGACAGGAACGCCGTTGCAGAGGACCTGCTGGGGGGCCATGGCCACCCCAAGGACGATCACCTTCCTCAGCTGCAGGCTGGCCCCCTCACTGCTCACACGCACCAACTGGTTCACGACAGTGTTCTGGACGGAGCAGAGACAGAGACAGAACACGGTCTGTGAGCAGACGGCCTAGGGCAGGGAGCCCCACCGGCGGGACAGGGAGCCCCGCGGGGCCAGCGCTGCTGGACAGCAGACAGGGAGGGCAGCTCAGCAGCACGCCCACGCAGACAAAGCCTGGGCCACTGGCACAGTGCAAGGGGCTCGGCCGAAGCGCTCAGTCCATGAGCCCCTCTCCCCGCCAGTTGGGCTGACCCAGGGACAGGGGGCCACCCCGGGACCCCAGGCCAGCGCCCCTCACCAAATCTGGATGGTCACCCCAAGATGGCCCCCAGCCTAGGCAGGCCCCAGGACTCACGTTTCCAGCCAGAAAGATGACCTGCGTGTAGGCCCCGCGCTCCAGCACCCCCAGGCTCTCCCCGTCGTCCCAGAACAGCTCCCCTCGGGCCTCCCCGCTCGGGGTCAGTGCCACGGCCAGGGCCATGGGCTGTTTGCGGGACTCTGTGGTTATGAGGCCTGGGCCCTGGAGGAGGTGGCCCATGTCACTGTCCCCAGCCTGGTGGAGGCCCCCCAGACCCAGGTGTGAGAAGCACTGGGCTGTGACAGCGTCATGCTGCAAGAAACCAGGATCTGCAGGACAGCCTGCAGCCGAGCAGCCTGGATGCCTGTGGTGACCACCCTGGCCCAGGTGGATCCCTCAGAGGACGTAAGAGGCCCGCAGAGGCTTGCTGACGGACTGTTTTCTGAGAATGGCCAGTGAAGCCGGCCTCCCCTCTGCCCACCCCAGCAGATATATCTGGCCTGGTTCCTCCTCAACCCTCAGAACTATCATCTCTGCTTGGGGGCCTGAGGGTGGACCCCCAGTTGAACAGAGGCACATGGGGGTCCTAGCAGCTCCAGTGCTGGACAGATGGGCTTGGGGGCCCGGCCCAGGTACCTGCATGGGGATGATGTGACCGGCCCGGACGTGGAGGTTGATGGTGTCCAGTGGGGCGGGTAGCATCACCCACTGCCCCTCACTGTGGATGATGGATGTTAGGGGTGCAGCGGGCGGAGGTGGATGGCTGCCAAAGGCCTGAACTGGCACCTGGAGGGTTTGTCATGTCACAAAGGGTCCTGGGCAGTGCCAAGACCCTGCGCTGTTGTCGAGAGCCAAGGGTGGAGACCTGGCCACGCAGTGGGGACAGTGTGAGAGGCCTGAGATACAGCATGAGACACAGCACCAGGGCTCCAGTGGGGCAGGTCAGAGGACACAGGGAGGGGCAGGAGTTTGAGGGCATGAGAACTAGAGTCCAGGCTCAGCTAAGCAGCAAGTCAGCTTAGCCTCAGTTTCCTCATCTGAGAAATGGGTTCCTGCAAGGACTGCAGGAATGATGCTGGTGGAGCACCCAGGGGAGGCCCACGTGTAACCAGGCAGGACTCGACAAACGTGCGCGTTTTTCACCATCTGGCCCACACCAACAGAGCCAGAAGGAGGGCTCCCTCAGGCTCCCCAGTCCTCCTTGGTTTCAGGGGCCCAAGACTCACCATCTGCAGGTCATACCACGTGCCTCGGGGGAAGTAGCCAGTGACCTCAACCTTCCCAGCCTCGAGCACCGGGGTGATGAGCAGAGCCTCCCCCCATAGGAGCTGGTGGTCCACGGTCCAGGTGTGGGGGTCTTTGGGGAACCTTCAAACAGGAGGGACCAAGGCAAGGGGGAGGCTAATCACCTCTGAGGTCAGTGGGCTCAAAAGGTCCAAGGGAACTCGGAAAGGAACCAGGGGACCTGGGGTTACATGTGGCAGAGCTGGTTCTGGCCGACTGAAGTCAAGGCAGAAGCCAAGAGCGACCCCCCCCCACCCCGGCCCGGCGTTCTGGCACAATGCACTCACACCTGCCGTTTGCAAGCTATGTCCTTGCCCACGTGTCTGCTTGGCTCTTAATACTGGTTTTACCCCTGGTCTGAGGTTCTGGGCATTTAGGGACCGTGAGTACGACTTCATTAGCAATGTTTTCTCCCTTTCATTCCCCTTGGCAACCTACATTCAGAGCGGTTTTAATACTTTTCTGTTTATGTTCGGAGAAGTGTCACTTTTTTCCCCCTAAGTTACACCTCCTTCCCTTTGCTTTTTGCTTTTGATGCTTAGAAAGCCCTCTCCTGCCAGAGCATAGAGAAGCATTCACTTCTGTTTTCCTGTGGCATTCTCTCCAGCTCAATTTTTGACATTTAATTACTCAGTCCATCTGGAATTTATGTTTGTGCCATGCGAGGGGAAAATAAATTGATTCTTGCAAACAGCTAACTAATGACCTTACTACTGGAGAATCCTTAAGCCAACGATCTGAGGTGCCACTTGATGGCTGGTACGGTACCTCTTAGGTATACGAAGTCCTATTGGGGGCGTCTACTGGATTCTTCTGTGGTCTTGTTCTCTTAAGCCCCAAATGGACTCAATCATGGGAGTCTACAAGTTGCTTTACCGTCTGGTAGGCCTGGTCTGTACTCAGTGTGCTTCAGCCTAGGTTTTCTTTATGGAGTGCCCCAAGTCGGGCTGGAATCTAAGGGGTGGGGACTGGGGGTGCAGTGGGCACCCCAGGGAGAGGGCCCAGGTTTTGCTTCAACCTCCTCCCTCTCTTGGTGCCTGGTACACCCCCTGTGGCAGGACGGCCACCCTGGGGTCAGTGGGCCCAAGGTTATCGCTCCCGACCCAGACACTCACTCCAGGAAGAGGGGCCGAGCCACGGTCTCACCCCTGACGTGGGCCCCGTGGAACAGCGTGTAAAGGTGGGGCAGGAGCGCGTAGCGCAGGCCCAAGGCCTTCCTCATGGCTTGCTGCGCCGTCTCGCTGAACCTGTACGGCTCCTGCGGCTGCAGCGGGGGGTGGAGGGAGCGGAGGAAACACCTAGGATCTGGGGTCCAGGACCCTGAGGTCCCCCCACCCTGGAGACCGGGCACTTTTGAGCCCGTGTCAGGCTGGCTGGCACAGAAAGCGGGCGTTCCGCAGAGCACGGCCCGCGCCCTACCAGGCTGCTGAGGTCGTTGTGGTTCCGCATGAAGGGGTAGAAGGCCCCCAGCTGGGTCCAGCGCACGCACAGCTCCTCCGAGGTGTTGCCCAGGAAGCCGCAGACGTCCGCCCCCACCAGGGGCACCCCCAGCAGATTGAAGAGCAGGATGGCTGGGAGGCAGAGTCAGACGGGTCTCAGGCTGCCACAGCCGGACCAGTCCAGAGCCAAGGAGCCCGACAGTGTCTGCTGAGCTGGCTGGAGGCAAGGATCCCTCCCAACAGCCCTCCCACCAGGCCCCACCTTCCCCAGAGAGCTCAGCTCAGCAGACTCCCGGCAGCCTGAGGCTCTGCAGACGCTCGCACACAGAAGCAAAAGTCTATGAAAGCACATCCAGGCTGGGGCTTTGGCGGAGGCTCTTTTTGGCTGTGGCTCAGGGGGTCACTTCTAACCCCTTCCCCAGGGCTCCCGAGCCCTCTCTGGGCCTAACACGTGTCTGCAGCATCAGAGCTCTCAGAACAGAAATCAAATTCCTCTTCGCAGGGTGGAGCCGGGCACTGAGATGAGGGGTGGGGGTACCCTGACAGAGCTCGGATGCAGTTTCACACAGCCCAGGATGTGGTCACCAGAAGGGACATTCTGCTGGCAGACAGTAGCCAGCATGAAACGGAGATGGGAAGCTTTGGAAGAGAGGCACCACAGGTGAGCCCCTGCACAAGTGAGCCCCCCTGCATGGGTGCACAGGGCCCGGGGTGGGCCTCATGCCCCACAGGGTTTGGCGGTGGACCCCACGCCATTGCAGCAGTGTCTGAGGACTCAGCTCTGGGCAAACCTCCACAGAGAGTGGCCCACAGTCCCCCTCACACCCCTCTTGACCGGTGCGCTCACCTGACACGGAGTAGGAGAGCTGCTCCCAGCTGCTCCACACGTCCCCTGTCCAGTGGCCAGCGTATCGGCCGTGGCCAGCAAAGGTTGAGCGAGAGATCACGAAGGGCCGCCTCCCCCGAGCCTTCACCAGGGCTCTGGGTGGAGCAGGGGGACAGGGATGTGTGAGTGGGGTCACCGAGAGCACGGGGAAGCAGCAGGGTAGACGAGCTGGGGGCACGGAGCTAGCTGGCTGAGGCTGCCGCCAGTGACTGCTGGGCAGTCAGCTCTGCCACTTGATGACACTCAGAGACGCATGTGTCATGGGAAGGACAAGCGTCCCTCGAGTGCCACGGGAGCCAGAGGTGCTGGTCAGCCCTGACCTTGCTGTCCAGGCACCACACCCTTCCTGAGGCACTAGGCGTGGAGCTGGGGGAGGGGGCTGGAGTGGCAGGGGACCTGGAGCCTCCTCTTCTTCCCGTACCCAGCCCCTCGCAGCACCTGGCCTGGAGCCCCTCACCTGTGGGAGGCGAAGGCCTCAGTCAGGCCATACAGGTTGTGCAGGTTGTAGTGCGTGGAGAGGAACTGCTGGCTGGAGGCGCAGATGGTGGCTGCCCGGAGGGTCCCGCCGACCACCCCTGGAGGAGAGGGGGCGGTTTCCTTGGAGTCTCTACCTGGAAGGCTGGTGCCCCTCACATTCTGGGAGCCCCTCTAGGATTTGAGGTACGTCCCTGAAGTCTTCACTTTTCCAAGGACAGGACAAGGTGACTCTGCAGGCTGGCCCCTGCAGACCCCAGACCGCACATCCGCCTGCTCCTCAACCACTTCAAGTCTTGCCCTGTGCAGCTGCCAAAGTCTGAAATCCCCCCGGCCCCTCTTCCCCCGCAAAGGGTCTCGCCTCTGCTGCACGTGCCCGGTCAGTGTTGTGTGGCTGGGGTCTCCCCACCTGAACCTTACTCCTGGGGTTCCCCTCGCCTTTCCCGGGGTGGCTGCTGTCCACTGGCTTCTCAGAAACCACAGCTTTGAGCCTCCCAAACCAGAGAAGGGAAATCCCTTATTTGAGCCATTAAACTCTCAGCCGACTGGTGCTAGTGGGTGGGCAGGTGGGGGCAGCTCACCTGGCACGTAGGGCGGGTTCTCCAGGTCACTGTTGGGGCAGCCGTCCACAGAGCCCTTCACGAAGTTGGATGGCTCGTTCATGTCCTGTGAGAGAGCCCCTGGGGGTGGGCGCCTGGCCTGGCACAGAGGGTGGGGCTGGTCCCCGAGACCACAGGACACCCAGGGGCAGGGCCACACTCACAATCCACATGCCATCGAAGGGCACCTGGGCGTGGAACTCGCCCACCATGTCCTGCCACCAGCCTAGGGCCTCGGGGTTGGTGAAGTCGGGGAAGGCGGTGAGTCCGGGCCACACCTGGACGAGAGGCCAGAGGGGAGATGGAGGCCCGGGGCATTCCGGCCACGGGCAGGGCCGCAGCCTCACTACCTCCCCAGCGATGGCGGACGGCGGAGGGGAGGAGCGGGGGGACACACTGCAGGGAAAACCTCATCAGAGGCCACTTTCAGGCGGGGGCCCGAGGCCCCGGAACCCCCTCCTCCTGGCTTGGGCCCAGCCTGGAGCGCAAGGCCTGGCCTCTGCCCGGGAGCTGTCGGGACAATGTGGAGGCCCCCAGGCCCCTGAGGGTCTGCAGAGCTCGTGCCCAAGCTGCCCGCGAACAAGGGTCCCTGGCAGAAGGCTTCGAAGTGGCGTTTCTGGTCCTTGTCACCCCCAGTGTGACCCCTTCTCAGCCCCACTGGCCAGAGACCTCTGCCCTCTCACCCTTGCCTCCAGGCCCTGCCGTACCTTCCCAATCAGAGGCTGCCCGGTCTCGTTGGTGATGAAGACCCCCCGCCGCAGGCCCTCGTCGTAGGGGCGGTAGGTCCCGGCGGGGCTGGAGCTGCTGATGGCAGGATCCTGGGGTGAGAGGGACCAGTCAGAACGGGAAGACAACGCCTGAAGCTTTGGCACCATCGCCAGGAAAACGCGGAAACGCTCTCTACAAATGTTAAAGAGGCCAGGCGGCCATGCACGAGCCGGCCTGCCGGGTGTGGACGTGCACGTGACCTCTCCCCTAGAGACTGGAGGCAGCAGGGGCGCCTGTGGCCAACGGGGGCACACCCGGGTGCAAGCCTTACCTCCGCGTTAAGGGTCTAGGGTTTCACAAACATTCTATGGTGAGCATATACTTCACTTAGAACAAAAAAGGAAAAGGTTCCATCTGACCTCCCTGCTCTGAGTGCCCCCTGCATGCTGCTGTCCTCAGAGGGGCTGTGAGGATGGAAATGACCATCAGCCTAACTCCAAACGCACTTCCTGTCCTGAGAGGGTATCCATGGTGGTGACCGTTTGGTCATCTTAGCCCCCACTCCCCACCTTCTCCTTCTCTGGCTGCAGGCTGGCCCGGCCACACCAGCCCCGGAATCGCTCGCACCCCTTCTGGCTGCAGGGACTGGCCCGGGGAACGAGCCTTTGAGCTGAGCTGCCCAGGCCCTGCCCTCCTTCCCACAAGACAGAGCTGACTGGGGGGGGCAGGGCCAGCGGCCCCGGCACAAAGCTCCACGGGCCTTCCATGCTGACAGGTATCAGCTGAGCAACGCCCCCACCCCCACAGCTTGCTCTAAGCTCTGCAAGTAACCTGTGGCTGGAGGGGTCCTGAACAATGGACAGAGGATTCCAGGGACGTCCCCAGACGGCAGGGGCCAAATCTGTGAATCTGATGTTCCCTCAACATCGGAGACCCTCATAAACGTCCTCAGTGGCCGCGGCTGGGATGAGACGATGCCACCCAGAGTTGGAGCTACCAGACACTGGGACCCTCTTCCTCCCAAAGAAGATGCTCCACGTGGCACGGGGTGGGAGGGACAGGGCACTCACGACGATCAGCATGTACCGCCGGCCGCCCTGGTGGAGCTCCTGCACCATGGCCGGGAAGTCCCCGAAGCCGTCCTTGTTGAAAGTGAAGTCCCTCCTGGCGTCCATGTAGTCCACGTCGTTCCACTGGACGTCCTGCAGCCACAGCACAGGAGCGGTCGGGGCCCAGGCTCGCTGCACCTGGCCGGCCGCTGCCCCAGGCCCCTCCCCGGCACTCACCAGGGGGAAATGGGCCCTGGTCATGTTCTCCACAACCTGGCGGGTGACGGCGGTGGAGGAGTAGCCCCAGCGACACAGGTGGAAGCCCAGGCCCCAGTACGGCGGCATGAACGGGTGGCCTGGGAGCCAAGGGGACTGTGAGTGGACAGCAGGGGCCCGGGAGGACGGAGCCGGGCCAGGAAGCAGGCCTACCCACGATGTCCAGGTACTGCTGCACTGCGTTCTTGGGCTCCGGGCCCAGGAAGACGTACAAGTCCAGAATCCCGCCTGTCGACCTCCAGCTGAGGGCCGGGCTTGGCTGTAGGACCACGTCTGGGGGAAGCAGCCCCGAGACTCAGAGACAAATACTTGCCCCCCCCCGCCCCTCCCCACCCCCACGGCCTTCGGAGCTGCATCAATGGGCCAAAGCACCACTGGACAGGTGGGGTCCTCCCACAGGGAGCTTGGGGGCGCTGGGGAAGTCACTCTGAGCCCAGCTTGCTGAGGGACTTGGAGCAGGACAGGAGGAGGCTGAGCAGCTAGGCCCAAGAACCCTCTTTCTGGCCTTGGCCTGGCCCTGGGAAGAAGTCCCAGAGCCCACTTCAGGGGCACTGAAGGACAGAGCTGGCAGAGGCCACAACCCACTGGTCATTTCTCAGAAGAGCGAACGAGCCCAGACCCCCCCCCTGCCTCCTCCTCTACCTTCAGCCTGTCAGGCAGGTAGAGAGCCCCACCTCCCTCTATGAAGGAGGGGGTGCAGTCACGCCAGGGAAACCCTGGCAGGGGGCTCAGAAGCAGAACTGGCTGGGGGACATGGGGGGCCCCAGTGCCAGCTGGCTTACCCATGGCATTGCTGTTCAGCAGGAAGACCCCGTGAGCTGACCCGTCGTCCTCCAGCACAAGGTAGAAAGGGTGGGACCCGTACAGGTTCACATCAGGCTGGGACACAGCGGACATCTGGCTTTAGTTCCCGGCCCATGCGGCCCCTCTGATCCCAGGTCCCACCCTAGCTGCCCCTTTACCACGGGGGCGATGTCCCGATTCCAGAGGGTGACCTTGGTCCAGTTGGTACTGAGCATCAGGGGCCCGAGGTGTTCGGCAAGGCCTGTGATGTGCTGGGATGGCAGGGAGGTGGACAGCTGCAGAAACTGGTCAGCAAAGAACAGGGGAGCCACGGTGGTGTTCAGCCTGCCGGGAAGAGACGAGAGGCCAATGGCCCCAGGAGCCCTGACCGTGCGCAGACACTGGGTAGGGGCTGCCTGAAACCCTCCTAGTCCTGGGAGTCGTGGCCCCGAGCACCTCCCGAGAGGGCCAGACTGCTCCTGACTCCGTGGAGCTGCCCAGCCAGGGGCTGCTGGGGAGCCTCGAAGCTCCCCCTCCGCCTGGAAGACGCATCACGGCTAACTTCACGGGACGGGCTCCAGCTCCACCCGCCCACACTGGGCAGGACTCTGCTCACCTGCGTGCCGGGTGTGTTTTCAAGACCAAGACCTGATAAATGCTTAGAAACTTCTCTCAGAACTCTGCCTGAAGGTCAGCTTCCCAGGCCGCCCCGCTGCGCCTGCACAGCCCATTTCTGCCCTGGCACTGCCCTGCCGTGGGCTCGAGCTGCTGCTCCCTGCTGGCTCAGCCCCAGGAGCAGGTCCATCAAGCCCAGCCAAGAAGTGGACGGTGACAAAAGCAAGAAATGCACTTCAGAAGGCCAGATCTCTGAAGATCAGGGCCCATACAAGTTCCCTCCTTCCAAGTGTGTGGCTGAGCTCAGTGCAAAGCAGGGCCTTGTCGGTCAGCACACATTTAGGCAGGACCTTGTGGGTGAAGTGCACGGGGTGCGTCCTGGGAAATGGCCTTGCACAGTCCAGCGTCAAGGCCAGGCAGCCGCAGAAGAACCACTGGCCCTGCGGCTGGGGGAACTGGGCCGCTTCTGGGCCCGGACACACCCAACACTCGGACTCACAGCCACGGCACTGGAGTCTAAGAGATGCTTCCTGCATCCAGTACCTGGGGGGCGGGCGGAGGGGGAGGCGAGGGCGAGACCAAGCACGGCCCTGTTCTCTCCACGAGTATCCGCCAGGCCCTGCTGCAGGTCAGAACTGCTCTAGGAGCTGGCGGCTCAGGAGGGAACAGCAGATGGCAGCCCTGATCCAAGCAAGGGTAAGATCCCACAGGGGGACAAACCCTACAGGGACATGGAGCAGAGTGGCCAATAGCATGGACGCTGGCTCTGGCTCTGTCACTGCCAGCAAGGGCCTGGCCTCTCTCTGTCTCTGTTCTCCCGTCTGTAAAGTGGGGATGAAACAGCACCTACATCCGAGGCGTCGTGGGGGTTAGAAGGGTGAATAGCCATGGTGCCTGGTGTGCTGGATGTGTGATACGTGGTAGGTGATAAATGAGGATAAAGCGGGGTTGGGGAGCACTCTAGGCTGAGCCAGGGGTCCTCAGCCCAGCTCTGCTGACGTTCTGCTGACAGCTCCGTGTTCTGGGCTGTCCTGCGCACTGTGGGGTGTTGAGTGGCATCCCTGTGCCCTCACCCCCGGTACTGACATCCTAAACGTCTCCAGCTGTTGTCCAATGTCCCCCAGGGGAAAATCACCCCAAGGGGAACCCTGGGCTAGATGGTTGCAGGGGCCCCTGAGGACTCCAGTTGGAGGGAGCAGTGAGCACCACGACCCAGGGGTCAGGAACACTAGAGTGGCCAGAGGGGGAGGTGGACCACCATGGGATCAGAGATGCCATTCTCCAGCTCCCTGACCCTCCCACCAGGTGGAGGGCACAGAGACCAGGGCACTCACAGCACCCGTCCATCCAGCTTCCGCCGCACGACCACCCCAAAGGGCTCCTCCGAGAACGCCACACTGTAGAGCGTGGACGGTGCCCGGCTGTGGACACGCGGGGTCTCCAAGGGCACTTCGTAGCGCCTGTTGGTGGGATCTTTGATCTGGAAGATGAGAGCAGTGTTGTCACGAGGCCCTTGGTGGCCGGCCATCCCTGCACACCTGCCCACTCTGTCCTTCACCCTCCAGAGGAGCGAGGGGTCAGCTCAGGTCCCAGCATGGCTGCATGCAGCGTGTGTGCGTGGATGGACTGGTCAACATCCCTGAGCCTGCGTCCTTATCTACAGAGCCAGAAGCGCACCCCCTGTGGGCTGCCAGGTAAGATACAGAAAGCCCAGGAGATCTGTGTAAGTATTTTTTCAGTGTAAGTATGTCTCAGATACTGTGTGGGACATACTCACACTAACGCCACCCCCAATTCCTTAGTTATCCGGAGTTCAAATCCGTATTGGTATTTGCTGACCCTGGCAATGCTCTTCTGCCCGGCACACCTTGTCACAGGGAGAGTGACAAAACATACCTAGAGCACCCAACCCTCGTCTGGTACACAGTCATCACTCAGGAATCCCGGGCTGTCATCAATGACTTTGTTAAGCTAACGGAGCCGCACTGCGCCGCGTGCTGCAGGCTCTCACAGTCACTCAGCTGACGAGTTTTTACTGAGCACCTGCTCCAGGCACTGTCCAGTGTCTCTTCCCTTGCTGGTCTCGGTTGGGATGTCACTTCCTGGGGGAGACCTAACCTCCTACCCCCACATCCTGAGCCCTGCCCTCCAGAGCAAGTTCTGGAACCTTCTAGTCACTGTCTTAGTGACCCCTGTCCCCTGAGTGTGTGTCTGCTCACACCTGGACCCCAGGGGAGGGCACCACACACATCTGTGCATGAGCAAACACCCGGTAGAGCCCGTCTTCACCCACTACCAACACGCTCTCTGGCCCCCCCCACCGCCCCGCCCACCGTGAGGTGGAGCCGGCTCTCGGTCTCCATCAGCACATCCAGCCGTAAGGTCATGATGTCCTTGGGGAAGAAGGTCGGGGTGGTGCGCGTCAGGGTGGCTGTGTAGCCCGTCTCCGTGGTGGTCAGGTTCTCCAGCTTGTAACTGGGGTAGCCGGAAGGGAAGAAGCACCAGGGCTGCCCCATCTGGGCCCCGGGAGGCCGCTGCCTCGCGGGCACGTAGCAGCAGCCCCGGGCCTCGCACTGCTCCCGGGTGATGGCCTTGTCTGGGGCACAGTCGAAGCGGCCAGCGGGGGGCAGGTTGCACTGTGTGGGCGCTGCCCTGGGGCTGCCTTGGTGCCCTGGGGCGGGCCGGGGCCCTAGGCCACTGGCTCCCAGCTGGCGAGCTTGGTACATCTCCTCGGGTGCTCGGGAGAAGCTGCACAGCTCTCGGGGGGCCACTGCGAAGTTGTACAGCAGGATGTGCCCCAGGAGGACCAAGGAGGCAAGGGCGCAGACCCCCTGCAGGGTGTGGGAGCAGGGCGGCCACCTCATGTCTGGGTGCTGTGGGCAGCGGGTCCTGGAGGCCTGCAGACAGGAACCAGGCTCAATGGGATGGCAGGAGGGGTGGCTGGGGCCTCGGGGGCCTCTCAAAGCAGCTTCCAGACAGGAACCTGTGGCCCATGGACAGCCCCCAGGGCAGAGGTGAGGTCCGCTGAGGAAGCAGGGCCGACGTGGGGGAGGGAAGAAAAAGGAAAAAGAGAAAAGTCCCAAACAGGGTAGTGGCAGTGGATTTGAAATCTTCAGATATGTCCCAAACGAAACACATTTAGAACGTCTGTAAAAATGACTTAATAACGCACAAAGACCCACGGGACAGGCTGACAAGCGGAACGAACAAGCTCCGACAGTAGAGTAAGTCCCGCCCCTGTGTGGAGGCTGTGGCCCAGGTGACTACGTCCTGGCCAACGGGGCGGAAGCGCAGCCCGCTCTGTGCCTCTCCGGCTGACTGGGATGCAGACACAGCCTGTGATGGGTCTCAGCCACTGCAGCCCGGGGGCCTACTCGCGGATGGCCCCAGGACTGGCCCCCGCGGTCAAGTGGGGGAGACACCTGTCACGGGGGTCTGGTTCGGGGTCTCTGTCGCAGCAGCCGCACCGGAGCCTCACCTGGTGACTCCCATGCCAGGACTGTTACCACCTGTGCTGTGCTCACCTGCACGTTCTAAATACTTTATAGGGAACACTGTTGGTCCAGCTCCTCCAAGGAGCAGCAGACATCCACATAGGACTAAACATGTGAGGATTTTACTAGAGGAGTCCTTTTTATGTCTGAGAGAAAATGGGGAGGTTGCTGGGGAGGGCTGGGAGAGCCATCACACCCATGCAAGTCTGACCTCCCTCCCCAGGAGGGCGGTGGGTCCAAGCACTGCAGACGGCTGTGCAGGTTAAGGAAGTCTGGGCAAGGCCACAGGGTGGGGGGTCCTTGAGCCAAAAGCTGGCAGTTAGAGGGGTCTCAGTCTCCCAGAAGCAGCCGGCCCTAGTATTATGGCTGGGAGGCAGCCTGGCTTCGCAGGAGATGCAGTGATGGACTTCTGGGCACAGCAGCCAAGCCTCTGTCTGTGGCAGGAGGTCTGTGAATTCTTTCAGCCACCAGAAACATGCAAGTATTGGGAAAAAGTCACATGCCAGCGGGAAGTGGGCCCAGGTCACCGAGACAGTCTAAGTCTCTCACAGACACGGCCTGGCTAGTGTGGGTCCCTGGTATGTTAGGTGCAAGAGTGAATTGTTTTTATTCATGACACTCTTAACACCAAAAGTGTGGGGATTTTCCACAGCAGTCAATTCCCCCGTTCTCCAGACACCAGCCAGGTGCCCAGCAATTCAGTTCTGACACCAACTCCCAGCGTTAAGTTAGCGCAGACCTCACAGGTGGCGGGGCTCAGGCCCCCAAGACCCCCCTCACTTCAGACACTAATCACAAGCCCCAGGTTGTCGCTGGCACTTCTGACTAAGAGGCTATAAATTCCAGGATTCACACAACACCCCTCACCTCCTCAAGTTCAACAACTGGCTTGAACCACTCACAGAACGCAAGAAAGCGCTTTACTATTATCTGTTTATTATGAAGGACACAACCTAGGAAATCCAGACGGCGCGGTACGGAGAGGGTATGCAGAGCTCCCACGCCCTCTCCGGGCCGGCTGCCCTCCGAGCACAAATGTGCTCACCAGCTTGGAAGCCCTCCAAACCCCAGCCAGTTTAGGGTCATCATGTAGGCACGACTGATGACATCACTGACCGCCGGTGATTAGCTCAATTAGATACCGTACAGTGTCCCGGCTCCATCTGATCATGCTTGGCTACATCTGACTTTGTGATCATGATGGTTCAGACACTGGGGAACTCAGTGTAGTCCAGGGGTCCTTGCTCCGGAGCCCTTGGGCAATTCCCATGGCCCTTCCCACCCAGACTTCAGAAGCCGCAGAGGTGGCCAGGGGCACGGCCAGGGGGGCAGCCAGGGCAGCATCGCAACCCCCCACCCCGCTCCCATTTTACGGACAGTGGAGAGAGCCGCCCTCAGAGCGCTCGACAACTTAGAAAATGGGGAAGAACTGAAGGTCAGTAGGGAAGAGGCGCTGCTGACCCGGAGAGCCTGTCCCTGCGCTTTCAGGGAAATGGCTCGGACCCGCCGCTCCCCAGGCCGGGGGGGGGGGTTGGTGCAGACACGCCGCGTGCAAAGCCCAGCTCCACGCTGGGAGAGGGGAGTAAAGGGTTCGTAACCTCCTGTGCCTCAGCCTCCTCCCTGTGAACGGGGGCAAGCGCAGCCTCCCTCGCCCAGCTCGAGGGAACCGTGGAGCTTCCGGGGCCCCCGTCGTTACCGCTGCCCACCGCCGCGCGCGGCCCCCGGAACGAAGCGCTCAGCTCCCACAAAAGGAAACCTCTGACGACCAATCAACAGACAGATCGACCCCTCCCCGCTGGGCGGCACGACTGCCCCGACCCGCCAAGCCTCCGGTCTACGGGGCTGCAGCAGACCTCCCGAGCCCCCGGCGCGCGCTGGGACCACCCGCAGCCGGGCCCGCT